GGAACAGATCGAAAATGGAATTTGAGCCACCGTAGTAATGGTTTCAAGTGAGCAAAAGGCAATGATATCCGAAGAAAATGAAAGGAGTCGAGTTAGTATTTTGATTTTGGTCGAGAGGCGTGTGGAGTAGAGAAGAGTACGTACGGTAGAGGAGAAAGTCGGTGATCCAGGTAAATGTTACGTTGTTGTAGGCTTCTGCGAGGAGCTTGTCTACGTTTGGGTTTGCGTGTGGCGTGCCACTGCTACCGCTGCTCGCGGTGGGGTCGATGGACGACGCGCCGTCGCAGGCGCATACGGGTGAAACGGGTGACGAGTGTGACGATGAGAATGAGAAGGAGTAGATGTGCTATGAGCAGGAGCAGTCTCTGGGTGAGCAGGAGGGACGGCGAGCAAGCCACTCCAATAGGTTTGGACGTCCTCGATGGCCAGTCCATAGGCGTGCTGCACGTTCAAGCGGGCCATTTCCATGTTGATTTGTGCGATGAGGTAGCGTGCGAGACCCTCTGGGTTGTAGGAGTGGGAGAGGAGGGTGTGGACGACCTGGCGGGTAGAGGGCGAGAGGAGGGCGGGTGGGGAGCAGTGGACGAGGTATGTGGTGAGGATGCGTTGTGATTCCATCGTTGCAGTGGTCTAGACGATGCTCTAGAGAGTGTAGACGATGGTGGTGGATAGTGTGTGCGCGCTGTGTGCTAGTGGGGCATAGAGGGGGGCAATGACGAGAGCGAGTGCAATAGACGGGATACTTTTATAGAGGGGTGTGTGCCGAGCTCAGGGGGCAAGAGGGGCTAACTAGTGGAAGAGAGAGTTGTAGATATAAGTATAATCTACCGCCACCCGGGACACAATCATGTTAATACTTTCCCCCCCCCCCTCCCTCCGCCGGGACTATACTCCCTACGCATCCAGACAGCCGAATGTGTGTCCAGCACCCGAACAGAACGCAAGGGCCATTACCCGTTTTATCCTAGTAATTTTCGGGGTTTGTCTGTGACGATCGGCCAGGTAACTACTTATCGCTTTGAATGGCCAATACAACGGCGGACACGATATCCCTCTGCTCGGCGGAGAGCCAGTCCATCCCGGGAGAGAGAGCACTAGCATCATCCAGATATTTATAATAAAATAATAATACGAATATCGCTGAAGATGGCCCGCACTAGGAGAGGATGGCCATCGGTATCACCTACCCACTCCTACTAGCTGGGCCATCTCCGCCGACCACTCTGCTCCAGGAGTAATCCTCTCTCGAGAGTATACTCGTTTCCCAAATCAAGGCAGACACTTGCTCCTTTTGATTTCAATGGGACTCGATAGATCGACAATTACAATGATCCTTGTGAATTCTCTCTCTCCTTTTTCTATCATTCGAATCAGTCGCTGTACTAATCCAATTTGGGCCGACTCGACTTGCCTTTTCGAGCGGCCTCTCCCCGTCCAATCGCGCGCCAGCGGACCCTCCTTCCCGCTTCCGCCCGTCGCACACTACTTTCCCCCTCTCTCCCACGAACGGCGTTTGGCCAAACGGGCGCGAGCAATTTTCCTTTCTAGGAAGGGACGAAAGCAGGCATTGGGGAAAGGGGTGCAGCGACTGATTCGAATGATAGAAAAAGGAGAGAGAGAATTCACAAGGATCATTGTA